TTTTTTTTCTTTTTGAGACAGGTTCTCACTCTGTCACCAGTCTGGAGTGCAGTGGCACAATCGCAACTCACTGCAGCCTTGACCTCCTGGGCTCAAGTGATCCTCCTCCCTCAGCCTCCCCAGTAGCTGGGACTACAAGAGCATGCTGCCATGCCCAACTAATTTGTGTATATTTTGTAGAGAAAGGTTTTTGCCATGTTGCTCAGGCTGGTCTCAAACTCCTGGACTTGAGCAGTCCACCCAGCTCAGCGTCCCAAAGTGCTGGGATTATAGGTGTGAGCCACTGAGCTGGGGCTGGGTGAACACTTAACAGAATCAAAGGAAGCCAGTTCCCAGAGCCATGCTAGTGGCTTTACCTTTCCAGATATTTCTAATTGTGCCAGGTCACCTCCAGACCAGCTGGCCTTTTAAGAACCAGAAGCTACCCAGGATGGCATAGGACCAGTGCTACTGTTTGCTTTGTCGACATTATGGTTGTTTCCCAAACAGAAACTGCCTGTTTTCCAAGGAACTCCCTCAGTCTAACTGCTCAGTCTCCGGGGGCACAGGAGGTTCAGGACTGCAAGACAGGCAGTTAGAGCCTGTCACAGCGCAAGCTGGAGAGCTGTAGTCTAGGCTCTGCCTCCAGGTCTGTGTGTGACTCTGAGAACATTCCTTCCACTCTCGGGGGTTCAGTTTCTGCATTTGTAAAGTGGGAGTAGGGTTCAACTAATAGATTCACCTGGTCCCTCCCAGAGGCCTTTGACTGTCCGCAGAAAATTTTACCCTGTTCTTACCTGCCACCCCTTGCAGGGACTTCCGAACTGCGTCCACACAGCTCTGACAGGTCATCTGCACCGCAAACTCCAACTGCAAAGGCAGCACGGACCAACCGATGATCACTGGGGAAGCGCCTTGGTATGACTTTGTTTCACCACCTACCCTATGACCACCCCCTGGGCCTGGGAACAAGCCCCACATAACCCTTCTTCAAGCACCTTCTTCATGATCACTCATGAGCATTCCAGGACCGTAGTGTCACCTCCCCAACACTCACGCAGGCCCTCTGCTACCCTGGCACCCTAGTTTCACCCCGTGGCCCCAGGCCCCACCCCAGGTGCCCACTCCATCCCCTCTTCCTAAGGGAACAATCACCCCAGGGGCCAAAGCTCTCTGCCTGGTGAGGCTCCACAGGAAGCCTCGACCCTCACCGTGCAGAGGGTCCCCTGGGTCCCCGAGTCCGAAGCCATTCCGGACCCAGTCACCAGCTCGAGATGCACAGCGCCTCCGGCGCAGGAGCGACAACCAGCGCTGCGTCGCGGGGGCGGAGCCTCGAAACCCACTCCTTAGCTCCGCCTCCTAGTGCGTGCGCGCGCCAGGCCCTGCCCCTGTCTGCCAAAGGGTAGCGGCCGAGCAGGCGCACTCGGGCCGCAGGGTCCCTGGTTGCCTTAGTAACCACTCGGTTCTCTGTTCACCAGTGGCACCTGCCGCCGGCGCTAAGATGGAGCCCGCGAAGCCGGAGCGTCAGCTCCAGCGGTTTTACCACCGACTGCTGCGTCCGTTGTCTCTCTTCCCCACTAACGCGACGTCCCCAGAGCCTCAGAAGCGCCCCCGACAGGAGGGCCGGATTCTGCAGTCCTTCCCTCTCGCGAAGCTGACGGTGGCGTCGCTATGCAGCCAGGTGGCCAAGCTGCTGGCCAGCAGCGGGATGTCAGCGCGAGTGCCTCCTGAAGCCCGACTACGTCTCATCAAGGTCATCCTGGATGAGCTGAAGTGCAGCTGGCGGGAGCCGCCCGCCGAACTTAATCTGAGCCACAAGAACAACCTGAAGCTCCGGAAGCGTCTCGAGGCCTACGTGCTGCTGAGCAGCGAGCAGCTCTTCTTGCGCTACCTGCACCTGCTGGTGACCATGTCGACCTCCAGAGGGGTCTTCACTGAATCAGCCACCCTTACCCGGTTGGCCGCCAGCCTCGCCAGGGACTGCACACTCTTCCTCACTAGTCCCAACGTCTACCGTGGCCTGCTCGCCGACTTCCAGGCCCTGCTGAAGGCAGAGCAGGCCTCTGGAGGTGTGGACAAGCTTCACCCCGTCTGCCCCGCCGGGACGTTCAAGCTGTGTCCCATCCCCTGGCCTCACAGCACTGGCTTCGCCCAAGTGCAGTGCTCTAACCTCAACCTAAATTACCTCATCCAACTCAGTCGTCCACCAGAGTTTCTCAGTGAGCAAGGAAAGATGGATCCAGTGAAGGAATTGAAGTCCATCCCTCCGCTGAAGAAGAAAAAGCCTCTTCACTGGCTGCCCTCCTTAGGAAAGAAGAGAGAAATCGACATCAGTTCCTCACCGATGGTGTCGATGCCCAGCTATCCTGTGGCTCCTACCAGCAGGGTTTCCCCGTCGCCTTTGTACTCCGAGCTCCAGAGAAGCCAATCCATGCCCTCCTTGCGTGAGGGCTGGAGACTGGCAGATGAGTTGGGCCTTCCTCCACTCCCATCTTGCCCCTTAACCCCGCTGGTCTTGGCTACAGAGAGCAAACCAGAGCTGACTGGGTACATCGTGGCTGAGGATCTGAAGCAGTTGATAAAGAACATGAAATTGGAGGGGACTCGCTACCCACCTCTGGGCCTGCCTCCTCTCCTGGGGGTTGTGACCCGTCCCCCAGCTGCAGGGCATCACCTGGAGGAGCTGGAGAAGATACTGAAGAACCTCCAGGAGGAAGAGACCTCTGGGCAGTGGGACCCCCAGCCACCCAATTCCTTTCCACTTCACCCACAGCCAGTGACCATTACTTTGAAGCTTAGAAAGGAGGTTGTGGTCCAGGTGGCTGCCGTACAGGTGTCTGATAGAAACTTTTTAGACTCTTTCCACGTTGAGGGGGCTGGAGCCCTATATAACCATCTGGTTGGTGAACTGGATCCTAAAGCCATTGAAAAAATGGATATTGATAACTTTATTGGCAGTAGTACCAGGGAGGTCTATAAGGAGTTGATGAGCCGGGTCTCTGCTGACCACTTACATTTTGATCAAGGGCCCCTAGTTGAGCCTGCGTCAGATAAAGACTGGTCAACCTTCCTGTCCTCAGCCTTTCTACGTCAAGAAAACCAGTCTCGAATCATCAACCCTGAGCTGGTTGGACTTTACTCCCAAAGAGCAAACACTTTACAGTCCGATGCTGAGAAGACGTCCCCCTTCCCATCACCCCAAGCTACCAAAAGCTGGGAGAGGTGGTCAAACAAGCCCTCCTTGAACTGGTGGAAAACCACCTTGTCTGTGGATGACTACTTCAAGTACCTTACCAACCATGAAACAGATTTCCTTCATGTAATCTTTCAAATGTATGAAGAAGAGGTTCCTGGGGAGACTGTGGCCCCTGTCAGTGAGTCCCTAGAGTTTCAGCACCCTCCCCCATTGCTAGAAGATGAAGAACCAGACTTTGTGCCAGGAGAATGGGATTGGAACACTGTGCTAGAGCACAGGCTAGGAGCTGGGAAAACCCCCCACCTGGGAGAATCACACAATACCCTGAGCCTACAGAAGCGTCTGCAACAACTGTGGTCTGTGCTTGAGGTCCCCGACAAAGACCGGGTGGACATGGTCATTAAGTACAGCTCCAAAGCCCGTCTGAGACAGCTGCCTTCATTGGTGAATGCCTGGGAGCAGGCCCTGAAGCCCATTCAGCTGCGGGAGGCGTTGCTAGCGAGACTAGAGTGGTTTGAGGGACGAGCTTCCAACCCCAACCGCTTCTTCAAAAAGACAAACTTGAGCTCCAGTCACTTCCTGGAGGAGAATCAGATCCGAAGCCATCTCCACAGGAAGCTGAACTTCATGGAGTCTTCTTTGGCTTCCCTCCTGGAGGAGATTGAGTCAATCTTCGGCGAGCCAGTGATCTTCAAGGGGCGGCGCTACCTGGACAAGATGAAGAGCGACAAAGTGGAGATGCTCTATTGGCTGCAGCAGCAGCGGCGGGTTCGCCATTTGGTGTGGGCCCTGAAGGCCCCCCCACCAGTCAGCCCTGTTCAAGAGCTCAGCAGCCAGCCTTTGGTAGCTCCTAGAAATACCCATATTATCCCTTGACCAGGCCCAGTGTCCTCAAATGCCTCCCTTACCCTCAAATGGCCAGCAGCTCATCTAGACCTCTTTACTGCTTTGGAAGAAGAAATATTTGTCTATATCTGGGAGTGCAGGGTTCAGGAACATTATGCTTCCAACTATGAAGGGACTGGGACTAAAACTATTGTTGTCACAGTGAAACTCTCATAAAAGAATCCCCAAGCCTGGTAGTCCCATTATGTCAAGCATTGCACAATATAATCCAAATCTCTTACCCTCAAAAGAACTGAGGGCTGGGCATGGTGGCTCATGCTTATAATCCAAGCACTTTGGAGGCCAACGCGGGTGGATCACCTGAGGTCGGGAGTTTAAGACCAGCCTGACCAACATGGTGAAACCCCATCTTTAAAATAAAATAAAATATCCGGGCGCGGTGGCTCAAGCCTGTAATCCCAGCACTTTGGGAGGCTGAGGCGGGAGGATCACGAGGTCAAGAGATCGAGACCATCCTGGTCAACATAGTGAAACCCCGTCTCTACTAAAAATACAAAACATTAGCTGGGCATGGTGGCGTGTGCCTGTAATCCCAGCGACTCAGGAGGCTGGGGCAGGAGAATTGCCTGAACCCAGGAGACGGAGGTTGCGGTGAGCCGAGATCGCGCCATTGCACTCCAGCGTGGGTAACAAGAGCGAAACTCCGTCTCAAAAATAAAATAAAATAAGAACTGAGACCTTGGAGTTCATTGTAGTGGGAAAGGTCAGACAGGCAAAGTTGATCTTTGGAACAACTCACTTTAGCATTCCTATCACACTACATTAAATTGTCACCTCTTTTAGTTCTCACACACTATTAGGAAGCTAAAATTAATTAAAATGTTACCAGTTACATGCATATGGTACAAATTATACCAGGATGTGTACTGAAAAGTAAATCTTCCCATGCCTACCTCCAGTATCTCAGTTTCCTGTTGTGGGGATAAGT